TACAGCCACCATGTTCACAGAAACTTCATACAGAGTAGTGTTCACAGCTACTCTTACAGCCATGTTCACAGAAACTTCATACAGAGTAGTGTTCACAGTACTCTTCACAGCTACCATCTTACAGAAACTTCATACAGAGTAGTGTTCACAGCTTCTCTTACAGCCATGTTCAGAAATACACAGAGTAGTGTTCACAGCTACTCTTACAGCCATGTTCACAGAAACTTCATACAGAGTAGTGTTCACAACTACTCTTACAGCCACCATGTTCACAGAAACTTCATACAGAGTAGTGTTCACAGCTACTCTTACAACCACCATGTTCACAAAAACTTCATACAGAGTAGTGTTCCCAGCTAATCTTACAGCCATCATGTTCACAGAAACTTCATACAGAGTAGTGTTCACAGCTACTCTTACAGCCACCATGTTCACAGAAACTTCTTACAGAGTAGTGTTCACAGCTACTCTTACAGCCAACATGTTCACAGAAACTTCATACAGAGTAGTGTTCACAGCTACTCTTACAGCCACCATGTTCACAGAAACTTCATACAGAGTAGTGTTGACAGCTACTCTTACAGCCACCATGTTCACAGAAACGTGTGTAGACATCCCCTCTACAACACATTTTGATGTTGGCACCTGTCCATCTGCCCAGATGATAGTGTTATACTGTGCAAGAGGGAGACCTGGCAATGACACAACGATGGTGACAGTGACTAGGATTTCAGGACCCACTGATGCAGTCAATGTACTTCCTCTAATGCTACTTGTGTGCTAGCCAGGTGAACCTCCACAGACTGGACACTGGGAACACTGCAAAGATACCTGCTCTTTCCAACACCTCAGTCATTGTGATCTTGTCTTGCCCCTAATTCCAAGCATTCTTGTGAAGCACGACATGTGAAAGCTTACTTACAGGAAAACACTTTTATAAAAAGCTGCATCAAACTTGCTGGATGACCTCTTGCAGGCAGACATTCCTGTGTAAATACCTACAGTAGTAGCTCTTATATTTACAAGTAGTCAGCTCTTGCAACAGTGCACATACTTCTCTTTCACCAATCCCCACAGTCATTTATGTGGGGAACCCACAGCAACTTATGCATGAGCATCATCAACTGTTAACCATAAATGACAAGAACAACTATCATATCTATCTTATCACAACTATCATATCAACTGTGTGAAACAGTGAGAGATACCTCTAGGAGTTCTGTAGACCACACGGTTGGACAGGGGACTGAAACCTTGGCTGTTGCGAGCTCCAATCCTGAAAACATACTTGGTATGTGGTTTCAGAAAGGGAAGTCGATACGACAACTCTCCAGCAGGCACCACTGCAGATTTCCTCTCCGCCACTGTCTCGTAGAACACAATGTAGCCTAGAGGGGAGAGGCCGCAGAAAATACAAGCTTGATCAATTATGCTTACTGAATGTGTTAAAGAATTGTCAAATACACCTAAATGTAACATCTACATGGGTTGCATCTTCGGAAGTAAAGTTTTCTATAAGTAGAGACAACCTGGCATTTAAATCGTGATTTGGTTGATATTATTCTGTGGTACCTGGCACATTACATCATACCATTATTTAAAACATTCCTAAAACACTTCTGAATTTGAGATGTTTCACTGTGTATTTTATGTTCCTTCCACCTGCAAACAGTTCTCTAACTGCACGCTGTTTCATTTTACACACAGTTTTTTTCCTTGGTCACTAGTACAAATGAAGATGTCTGGACTTCAAAACTGCCCAGCATTTATTCTCACTGCCATTCTCCCATATGCCCTGGCCAACCAATCTGCCCTCACACTGCCATACTCCCATATGTCCTGGCCAACCAATCTGCCCTCACACTGCCATACTCCCATATGTCCTAGCCAACCAATCTGCCCTCACACAGCCATGAACTCTTATCGTCCTGGCCAACCAATCTGATTAAGGTGAATGTCTTACACACTACATCCAAATAAGTCTCAGTAAGTTCCTGTTGCACACAATGAAGGTGTCAATGGATATCACAGCAGAACAACCTAGCCAACCAATCTGATTAAGGTGAATGTCTTACACACTACATCCAAATAAGTCTCAGTAAGTTCCTGTTGCACACAATGAAGGTGTCAACGGATATCACAGCAGAACAAAACAGAGCAGTTTGTAACAACCGCACCACTGGATTTTCTTGGTGGATATCACAGCAGAACACAACAGAGCAGTTTGTAACAACTGCACCACTGGATTTTCTTGATGGATATCACAGCAGAACACAACAGAGCAGTTTGTAACAACCGCACCACTGGATTTTCTTGATGGATATCACAGCAGAACACAACAGAGCAGTTTGTAACAACCGCACCACTGGATTTTCTTGGTGGATATCACAGCAGAACACAACAGAGCAGTTTGTAACAACCGCACCACTGGATTTTCTTGGTGGATATCACAGCAGAACACAACAGAGCAGTTTGTAACAACCGCACCACTGGATTTTCTTGATGGATATCACAACAGAACAAAACAGAGCAGTTTGTAACAACCGCACCACTGGATTTTCTTGGTGGATTTCACAGCAGAACACAACAGAGCAGTTTGTAACAACCGCACCACTGCATTTTCTTGATGCATATCACAGCAGAACACAACAGAGCAGTTTGTAACAACCACACCACTGGATTTTCTTGATGGATATCACAGCAGAACACAACAGAGCAGTTTGTAACAACTGCACCACTGGATTTTATTGGTGGATATCACAGCAGAACACAACAGAGCAGTTTGTAACAACCGCACCACTGGATTTTCTTGATGGATATCACAGCAGAACAAACCAGAGCAGTTTGTAACAACCGCACCACTGGATTTTCTTGATGGATATCACAGCAGAACAAACCAGAGCAGTTTGTAACAACCGCACCACTGGATTTTCTTGATGGATATCACAGCAGAACAAAACAGAGCAGTTTGTAACAACCGCACCACTGAATTTTCTTGGTGGATATCACAGCAGAACAAAACAGAGCAGTTTGTAACAACCGCACCACTGGATTTTCTTGATGGATATCACAGCAGAACACAACAGAGCAGTTTGTAACAACCGCACCACTGGATTTTCTTGGTGGATATCACAGTTGTAACAACCGCACCACTGGATTTTCTGGGTGGATATCACTGTTGTAACAACCGCACCACTGGATTTTCTGGGTGGATATCACAGCAGAACAAAACAGAGCAGTTTGTAACAACCGCACCACTGGATTTTCTTGGTGGATATCACAGCAGAACACAACAGAGCAGTTTGTAACAACCGCACCACTGGATTTTCTTGGTGGATATCACAGCAGAACACAACAGAGCAGTTTGTAACAACCGCACCACTGGATTTTCTTGATGGATATCACAGCAGAACACAACAGAGCAGTTTGTAACAACCGCACCACTGGATTTTCTTGGTGGATATCACAGCAGAACACAACAGAGCAGTTTGTAACAACCGCACCACTGAATTTTCTTGATGGATATCACAGCAGAACACAACAGAGCAGTTTGTAACAACCGCACCACTGGATTTTCTTAGTGGATATCACAGCAGAACAAAACAGAGCAGTTTGTAACAACCGCACCACTGGATTTTCTTGGTGGATATCACAGCAGAACAAAACAGAGCAGTTTGTAACAACCGCACCACTGGATTTTCTTGGTGGATATCACAGCAGAACAAAACAGAGCAGTTTGTAACAACCGCACCACTGAATTTTCTTGGTGGATATCACAGCAGAACACAACAGAGCAGTTTGTAACAACCGCACCACTGGATTTTCTTGATGGATATCACAGCAGAACACAACAGAGCAGTTTGTAACAACCGCACCACTGGATTTTCTTGATGGATATCACAGCAGAACACAACAGAGCAGTTTGTAACAACCGCACCACTGGATTTTCTTGATGGATATCACAGCAGAACAAAACAGAGCAGTTTGTAACAACCGCACCACTGGATTTTCTTGATGGATATCACAGCAGAACACAACAGAGCAGTTTGTAACAACGGCACCACTGGATTTTCTTGATGGATATCACAGCAGAACACAACAGAGCAGTTTGTAACAACCGCACCACAGGATTTTCTTGATGGATAAGAAAATCGCAGAACACAACAGAGCAGTTTGTAACAACCGCACCACTGGATTTTCTTGATAGATATCACAGCAGAACAAAACAGATCAGTTTGTAACAACCACACCACTAGATTTTCTTGGTGGATATAACAGCAGAACAAAACAGAGCAGTTTGTAACAACCGCACCACTGGATTTTCTTGATGGATATCACAGCAGAACACAACAGAGCAGTTTGTAACAACTGCACCACTGGATTTTCTTGAAGGATATCACAGCAGAACAAAACAGAGCAGTTTGTAACAACCGCACCACTGGATTTTCTTGGTGGATATCACAGCAGAACAAACCAGAGCAGTTTGTAACAACCGCACCACTGGATTTTCTTGGTGGATATCACAGCAGAACACAACAGAGCAGTTTGTAACAACCGCACCACTGGATTTTCTTGATGGATATCACAGCAGAACACAACAGAGCAGTTTGTAACAACTGCACCACTGGATTTTCTTGATGGATATCACAGCAGAACACAACAGAGCAGTTTGTAACAACGGCACCACTGGATTTTCTTGATGGATATCACAGCAGAACAAACCAGAGCAGTTTGTAACAACCGCACCACTGGATTTTCTTGATGGATATCACAGCAGAACACAACAGAGCAGTTTGTAACAACCGCACCACTGGATTTTCTTGATGGATATCGCTGTTGACACAGAGAAAGAAATGGAACCCCAGACAGACAAACACACAGACAGACAAACATGCAGACAGACACACAGACAGGGTCACCTGTAATGTACCCATTGGGAGACTGTGGAGGCTGCCAGGTCAGAAAGGCAGTCGTAGGATCCTCATCATCCATAGACACTGTCACATGACTGGGGCTGGAGCTGGGAGCTAGACGGCCAGAGATCAAAGACTTGTGTTATTCTTTCTTCTATCCACAAACAGTTACCAGACTGACTTATTAGTCATATCCTACCACTAGCGGATGAACTCTAGAAGAAACAAATCTTAATTCAGTTATACCTGACTATGAATTGTTAAACTCTAGAAGAAACAAATCTAATTCAGTTATATATGATTATGAATTGTTAAACTCTAGAAGAAACAAATCTAATTCAGTTATATCTGACTATGAATTGTTGAACTCTAGAAGAAACAAATCTAATTCAGTTATATCTGACTATGAGTTGTTAAACTCTAGAAGAAACAAATCTGTTTCAGTTATATCTGACTGAATGGATGAACTTTAGAAGCAACAATCCACAATAAGTGGATGAATCTGGCAATAAATGGAAGAACTTTAGAAGCAACAAATCTCCTTGTTCACATCTGACTATGAGTGGATGAACTCTAGGAGCAAGAAAATCTGACTGTTGGTGGATAAGTGGATGAACTCTAGGAGCAGGAACATTAAAGCTTACAGGTTGACATTCCTTGATGAGGTCCCCCCCCCCCCCCCCCCCCCCGATCGTGAAGTAGTCCCCTTTTACTAAGATGAAGCTGAAGTGTCAACTTACTTTAAAGTATAAGGCACCTGCTGACATGTGCCCTAAATGTTAATGCATGTCCCCTGACAATCAAAGAAGTTACATGGTCACGTGACATTATAGGAAACTAATAATGTATGTAAAAATTTCCCACCCCATGTGGGGAAACCAACAGTTTATGTAACAATTTCCCACCCCATGTGGGGAAACCAACAGTTTATGTAACAATTTCCCACCCCATGTGGGGAAACCAACAGTTTATGTAACAATTTCCCACCCCATGTGGGGAAACCAACAGTTTATGTAACAATTTCCCACCCCACGTAGGGAACCCAACAGTTTATGTAACAATTTCCCACCCCATGTGGGGAAACCAACAGTTTATAACAATTTCCAACCCCATGTAGGGAAACCAACAGTTTATGTAACAATTTTCCACCCCATGTGGGGAAACCAACAGTTTATGTAACAATTTCCCACCCCACGTAGGGAACCCAACAGTTTATGTAACAATTTCCCACCCCATGTGGGGAAACCAACAGTTTATAACAATTTCCAACCCCATGTAGGGAAACCAACAGTTTATGTAACAATTTTCCACCCCATGTGGGGAAACAAACAGTTTATGTAACAATTTCCCACCCCATGTGGGGAAACCAACAGTTTATGTAACAATTTCCCACCCCACGTAGGGAACCCAACAGTTTATGTAACAATTATCCACCCCATGTGGGGAAAGCAACAGTTTATGTAACAATTATCCACCCCATGTGGGGAACCCAACAGTTTATGTAACAATTATCCACCCCATGTGGGGAAAGCAACAGTTTATGTAACAATTATCCACCCCATGTGGGGAAAGCAACAGTTTATGTAACATAGAGAGAAAAAACAAACAGCATTCATCCAGTATATGAGACCTGATTCAAATGTGGTGTTGATAACTGGGGAGCTCCAGTCGAGTGCTGGTCTCCTCTGTGAACTCTCACAGAGAACTCGTACTTGCTGGCAGGCTCCAGGTCCACCATGAAGATGGAGGGCAAGTTCAGAGAAGCAAACTTGTAGTCTGACTGCCTGCTCACATCTCGGTATCGTAGTCTGTATGTGTATGGCGCAGACTGTTTCTCTGTCCCCTGTAGGAAATCAACAGTACATTAAAGTACATACATGAGACATATACTCAAAGAATGTAGCAGAGACACACACCAACTGACTGTAGCAGGGTCACAGAATGCAGCAGGGACATACACTCAATGAATGTAGCAGGGACATACACTTACATAATGTAGCAGGGACATACACTTACATAATGTAGCAGAGACGTACACTCACAGAATGCACCAGGGACATACACTCACAGAATGTAGCAGGGACATACACTTACAGAATGTAGCAGGGACATACACTCACAGAATGTAGCAGGGACATACACTTACAGAATGTAGCAGGGACATACACTTACAGAATGTAGCAGGGATATAAACTTACATAATGTTGCAGAGACGTACACTCACAGAATGTAGCAGAGATATACACTCACAGAATGTAGCAGAGACATACACTTACATAATGTAGCAGAGAGATAAACTCACATAATGTAGCAGAGACATGCACTTACATAATGTAGCAGAGACATATGCTTACATAATGTAGCAGAGAGATAAACTCACAATAGGAATAAACTCACAGGGAGCAAGTACAGAGGGGATCTACCAGTCGTCAGTAGAAATTATCTTCGTCGATACGCGTTTCGGCCCACAATTCCTAGACGCATTCGGAGGTGGGCCCTCCTGAGTTCATGAAGCTCAGGGCTGGTTCCCCGCTGTACGGAATTACCGGATGGTGTTATTCTTTCGGCCAGAGACAAGACGACTTGGTGGTTTCGCAGGAGGTACTGTGAGATAAGAAGTCGCCACGGCAGCCTAATTAAAGCAGTCAGCATGCCTGGACGACCGAGCGACAAGCTTACTTTGGTTTACCGGACACATGTTGGACTTTTATTAGCAGTTGGCAGAGGGACACTGGCAGACAATTCGGACACGATGGACTTCCAAAGGGGTGAGAAACCCTTTTCCACTAGACACCCGGACCAGCTCACCGAGGCCCGTCCCCTACATTGTTGCGCTGCGTCCAAAGCCAGCTAGAGGCCCTTTCGGCTGCCTCTCCCAGTTTTTTGAGTGTTAGTTTCCGTTCATTACCGCGCAATCCTAGTTCTTTCACCACATTGTTTAGCGAAGTGGAAACGAGGCCTCTCGCTCCCACTTCGACGGCAAATACCCGTACTGTGTAAGCCTTGTTTCTCCTCAAACCGGCTGCTAAATCATTGTACTTCTCGAGCTTGTACAAATGATTCTCCTCCATACGCGACTCAAACGGGACAGTCAACTCAATCAGGATGAGCTGCTGTTTTTGCGCAGAATGGAGAACGATGTCCGGTCGCAGGCCGGTTTTACGGATCAACTCGGGGTACCGTTCATGGCCTGGCAGATCAACCGCCAGTAACCAGTCCCTCGCAGAGTCTAGCACAGATGGAGCGAATGCGTTTTGGTTGACCTTATCTTTGGGAACCTGCCCAGCCTTGAGGAAACGAATGGGGACGATACTAGAACTAGCTCTGGCGTTAGCCCTCATTCTAGCCTGGTCGACAACGGCTGCTAACTCTTTTAGCACCTTGTTGTGGCGCCAGGTATATCGGCCTTGACCTAGGGCTTTCCTGCACGCGGACAGGACTTGCTCAAGAGTTTGCTTCGATTTACACAACGGGCAAGTCGGATCGTTGGTCGCAGACCATTTAACCATGTTAACACCGGACGGTAATACATCGTACGCCGAACGAACGATAAAGCTCAGTCGCAGCGGGGTCATCCGCCAGATCTCACCCCATGTGAGTATTCTTGGCAATGCACTCTCCTGGCTGACCCAATGGCCCTGCTGCTACTGCTGGGCTGCTTTCTGGATCCGAACCTCGTTTTCGTTGTCCCTCACCGTTTGTATTACCATATCTCGGCGCTCTTTGGCTGAGCCCCTTTGACCACCAATTGAACTTTCCCGTGCCCTAGGCCTCGACGGTCGTTTTTTTTTTTGTGTGTATCCCATTATCTCTCTCAATTTTAGTGCGTTCTGGGCAGATTCTATCGCATCGAGGACTCTCCATTTGGTTCCAGTCTTTAGAGCGGGGCTGGACAGCGATGACATTTTGGGTCTGAAGACTCGCGCAATAGCATGGCGAGCCTTACCTTGCCGACTTTAAACTCTTCGGTTATTGATTTGAACGGAAGTTACCAGCTTAGCTGCTTACAATACAGAGCCACGTCGGTCAGACAAGACGGTGCACCAATCCACTTTCTCAAGGCTGTGTTGATTTTCTTCTCCATGGTTTCCACTGCAGTCATCGTCACCTTCGTAGACTAAACAGTGGCCATAGGAGCTTCGGAATCAACATGAATTGGAGTACACCATACCTTGAATTTTCCGATCAGCCTGCCTTCGCTCGATCGCGAGCAGGCCTGTAGCCAGTGACTCGTGTATTCGCACGGACTCTCAGCTTCTATCAGATAACTCGAATAGTAAACGCGACCGAGACTCTTCACCGGTTCCTCCAGAACCGTAAGGGATCTTGTTCCTTGCCACCGTAAAAAACTGATTGCCGACACCTTGCCCTTATGGACTGACAGGGGACTCCTCGACTTCTGCGGTTTTGAACTGCATTACCGCTCCATTGGACCACCGCGGTCCAATCTTTTCAGGATCGTGCGGGCAGACTCCTCGCTGCCGTTATTATAGTCGTATCATCCATAACTGCACGTAGTGGCGGCAAACCAGTGATCCCTTATTTGAAGGCCCTGTCCGTAGCCGGCCGCCCCGTCTAACATGATCTTCATGCCATGACAAACAGTATAGGTTGAGATCGTACAGTCCCATAGCTATCCCAATCTGCAACTCAGTCCACCTCGTGGGTAAACGTCGAGGTAGAGAGAAGCCGCAAAGCGAACTTTGGAGAAACGAATATTGCTCGACCATTTGACTGACCTGTGTTGGTACGTGAAACATGCGAAGGGCTCGCCACAGTAGCCTATGGGGGACTGCCCCGTAGGCGTTGGCTAAGTCCAACCATAACGTGCAAAATCGGTTCTCTCATGCTTGGCTCTCTGGATAGCCTCCCAAATCATGGTCGCGTGTTCAAGGCACCGGAACGCCTGGGATACCACCCTTCTGAAACACTCGTATCTATGTACTTGTTAGTCATCAGATACTGTGTGAGCCGGCGAGCCATGACTGAGAAGAATATCTTACCCTCGACATTCAACAGCAAGATGGGCCTGAATTGGGAAAGACTCTTCGAGTCCTCACATAATGTAGCAGGGACATACACTTACATAATGTAGCAGAGACATACACTTACATAATGTAGCAGAGTGATACACTTACAGAATGTAGCAGAGAGATACACTCACAGAATGTAGCAGAGAGATACACTCACAGAATGTAGCAGGGACATACACTTACATAATAAAGCAGAGACATACACTTACAGAATGTAGCAGATACATACACTTACAGAATGTAGCAGCGACATACACTTACATAATGTAGCAGGGACATACACTTACATAATGTAGCAGAGACATACACTTACAGAATGTAGCAGGGACATACACTTACAGAATGTAGCAGGGACATACACTTACAGAATGTAGCAGGGACATACACTTACCTAATGTAGCAGGGACATACACTTACATAATGTAGCAGGGACATACACTTACATAATGTAGCAGGGACATACACTTACATAATGTAGCAGGGACATACACTTACATAATGTAGCAGGGACATACACTTACATAATGTAGCAGGGACATACACTTACATAATGTTGCAGAGACGTACACTTACAGAATTTAGCAGGGACATACACTTACCTAATGTAGCAAAGACATATGCTTACATAATGTAGCAGAGAGATAAACTCACATAATGTAGCAGAGACATACACTTACATAATGTAGCAGAGTGATACACTTACATAATGTAGCAGAGAGATAAACTCACATAATGTAGCAGGGACATACACTTACAGAATGTAGCAGAGTGATACACTTACATAATGTAGCAGAGAGATAAACTCACATAATGTAGCAGAGTCATACACTTACATAATGTAGCAGAGTGATACACTTACAGAATGTAGCAGATACATACACTCACAGAATGTAGCAGCGAGATACACTTACAGAATGTAGCAGAGTGATACACTTACAGAATGTAGCAGCGAGATACACTTACAGAATGTAGCAGAGACATACACTTACAGAATGTAGCAGAGTGATACACTTACAGAATGTAGCAGCGACATACACTTACAGAATGTAGCAGAGTGATACACTTACAGAATGTAGCAGAGACATACACTTACAGAATGTAGCAGAGTGATACACTTACAGAATGTAGCAGCGACATACACTTACAGAATGTAGCAGAGTGATACACTTACAGAATGTAGCAGAGACATACACTTACAGAATGTAGCAGAGTGATACACTTACAGAATGTAGCAGAGTGATACACTTACAGAATGTAGCAGCGAGATACACTTACAGAATGTAGCAGAGTGATACACTTACAGAATGTAGCAGAGTGATACACTTACAGAATGTAGCAGAGACATACACTTACAGAATGTAGCAGAGTGATACACTTACAGAATGTAGCAGCGAGATACACTTACAGAATGTAGCAGCGAGATACACTTACAGAATGTAGCAGAGTGATACACTGAGAGAATTTAGCAGGGACACAGACTCACCTCACTGGCAGCCAGGCCTGGGTCATGCCAGCTGATCAAGGCAGAATTTGAGGACATGATCACAACTTGCACATTTGCTGGCTGTGGCAGTTTGCTGACACTTGTGTTATCTGGAACATTCCGCAGGCAAATAAAAATGGCAGACAGGATGTAACGAGATTATAAATCTGTTGAATTAATAACAGGGAGCCTCTGTGGTCTAGAGGCTAGATGCTCACCTGCCAACCATAAGGTCAGGGGTTCAGGACCTGACAAAGGCCGGGCTTGTTAAAAATGACCTTGGTTGCCTGGTCAACCCAGCCTTGAGTGGGTGCCTGGTCAACCCAG